AAGACTGCATTAGAGGCGTGAGAGATTCTATGACTTGAGCACATCCCGTCTAATCTACCTCCGATCACTAAGTATCATCGCAATCTGCGGAAATGAAAGAATATTATACATCTAATTTTCCAAAATTATACCTTTATTTTCTCTCACTCTTATTACCTTTTATTCATAATTATTCTTATTTGTAATTATTCTGATAAACATCTCTGGTAGCAAAATTTTCAATCCTCGAAGTTCTTTCAAATTCGTACAATTTGAAATCTGTAGATTTCTAAAACTGTAAATTTGTGCAATGAGAGACATTTGAAAAGTTTGCAGTTATGTTTCAACTACTTAATTCTACTACTACGCGAATTCTAGATGAAAGTAAAAGGGACGAGTAATTACCAGCCACCCCTTGTTCAATAGGACGATATCGCCTACTCAACTTTGTGATGAATTCCAATTATCTGAACGCGTAAATTGTTTTTATGCGCGAATTTTTCTGTATTGACAGAAAGACAGAAGTTTCGAGGAGACGAAAGTGAAATTAAAACTGAATCAAAGACACTTTCATTATTGGCGTATTTCAATCTAGATATTAGATTGCGTCAACTTCAAGATTTTAATTTTCCACAAAAAAAAAAGAAACAGCACGCCATTCACTCACGCGATTCCCGAGATTTGAAAAAGAAACTACCGATAAAGATACCGAAGAACAACGCATTTCGTTTGAATGTACGATTCTGTGGTTTTAAGAGAATCCCTGTAGAGAGAGAAGGTGTGAAATATTCACGCTGTCTTAAGGGATGAATCCCGGGGGATAGAAGATCTTTCCTAAGCGGACTATTTCAACGCCTTACGATATCAGGCAGAAGTAGCGTCATGCCTACGCGTGGAAACATTAAGAAAATCCAGACTTAATATAATAGAGGTGCTAAGGTAAAAGGGAATACAGCTTCAAAATTAATGCCTTCACTTAATGTACATACTTAAATAAGTGTACTTTCCAAGTACACTGTTTTCATATCGTAATGTTTGCCTAAAAACGTGTAACCTACGCGTGTGCTGGGTATTACAGTTAATTTTTAATTTCTCATTTTTCACTGTATAATCTGTTTTGACTAATCATAAAATATATATGCCAGCTCAACAACTTATATTTTACAAAGTTGTTTTTTCGTATTGCGAAATGATAAGCTATTTATAGGATTACTTACCGTAGTATATAATTAATCGAATCACATCTGATTATTTTATTGCTCCTTGGGACTAGTAAATGATAGCTGTTGTACAGAAGTGTTCGTGTAATCTATTTTATTTTAAATATAGCATCCCGTGTGCTGTTAAGAATCTTATCGGTTCAGTTCCAACGCTTCTTATCGCTGCGTAGTTGACCTCAAGAAAATGACAAAGGACTAGAGTAATTTTGTGACAGGCAGCAAAGAGAAATCATTAAATAACAATTAAGCAAGTAACAAGTCGAGAATTAGGTACGGTCTTGGTAGTATCGTGAGACACGGAAAGTCTAGTTACTTCCCTCTTCTAATGTGAATTTACTTTGATGACAAAGAAGACGTGACAAATACAAAAACTCTAAGTATTAATATAACAAATTTTGATACCTCAAATGGTTTCTTTTAACGCGAAGAAATAAAAGAAATAAAAAAAATTATAAAACTAGCAATTAAATGGATTAATAGATTACATTAATCTCACTAGAAGTAAAAGAGGAAAAACATTAAGTTTAACAATAAATAAATATGGGTTTAGAAAAATGTAATAATAGAAAATTAGGAAAACTGCATACATTTCCGTCCTTAATTGAAGGATCGTAATTTACAAAACGGGTCTTTGAAAGTTGAGTGCTGAACGTCCGACGGGAAGTCGACGCTGATCAAATTACAATTCACAGCGTGGCGAACATGCCCTCGACGTTAGAATGACGATGAGAAGAATGTCGTCGGTGTGCTTTCGGTTTCCATTACGAGGATGCCCACGGCTCGTTGTGTTCCCCCGCAGCATTTTTTTCTTCCTCGAACAACTCTTTTCACGCCCGTTTACCAGGTCCCTTGTAAAAAGCCACGTTGACGGCATTATTGTCTCCGCTGTCTCTTTCCGGAGACATGCCTTTGCGCCCCTGATTTAACTACTACACCCGCCACTTTACCTTGGCCTTATATTTTCGATAGCAAAAGAGATTCCGCAAAGAAAAAAAATTACAAAGATTTGATAGAGACATTAATCAGCAGATGATATTAATCAAAATTAGAGAGACGAGTTATTATATGCATCAATTACATTAATTATGTGTATCACTTCAATTGAAAGATTGATAGTTGTCACGATGTCGATATGTCAATTAGGATTATCGATCATTGAGAACGAAAGGAATCAATGAAAGATGAGATTGATATAATATTAATTTGATATCTTGTATTTTAAAATTGTCTACAGAAATTATAATTGTTTATTTAACTGTTACTGTAGAGAAGTCAACTAAACATAACAAATTTATGTGTAGTTCAAAGAAAATACAAAACTGATAAACTTGTTGCGAATAAACTTCATTTTAAGTTTGATAAAGCTATTGTTACAAAATAGAGATTAATTTTAACTTAAATTAAGTATAATATTACATAAACATAAAATTTGGAGTCAACCTCACGTGGTTACTTCCAATTAGTGGGAATCGAATAGATGTTCATTGATGCGTGTGTTTGCTTTTCGATTGAGATTACGCGCACGTGTAACTTCTGAGAGAAATATTTGCCGTAGAACTGACGAGAGTAATCGAATTACTGTGCTTCACTCGCATGTGTGAATTACGTAATCCGTCCTCCCGTCTCGACGTAATAATTACAGAAATGGAAATAAAATTGCACACTTTTTCACGTCGTAATTAAGCCGCAATGCAAAGCGAGTCATCTAAATGCACCGCGGAATTACTTATTTAATTAAAAATCAAATTAACGAGAGAACCGGTCCATAACGTCGTCGCTTTTGATCACGAAGATATTATTCAAATACTAAAGTCGCTTGAGTTATTAATACGTCGATTCGCGAATTATGTAAGCCGTAAAAGGGAGAGCATCGTCAATGCCGTACATTATGTAAATGACACGCAGCTTGAGTTCTAAGCCGTACTTCATACACGAAGCGTTTTTTACCACCGGTTTTCTTGCATGCTATCTTGCAGATAGCAAATGAGATTTTGCAAGAATTTTTCATTCAATATCTCTGCGATGATTTAAACTTCTCTTAATACAGCAGAGAGAGAGAGAGAGAAAGAGAGAGAAAGAGAGAGAGAGAGAGAATCAAGAAACAAAATTTATAAAATATTTCTTGTTATCGTAAGCAAAGAGAAATTGAAGGGAAAGAACGTATGTTAAAATAAAAATTGTACGGTGCTCAAACGCTTTCAGGCTGAATGCTTCTGAGTGATCGTGGTATAAATTTATCTCAAGTAACAAATTTGTGCAGAGAGCCTGTTTAGTCTCTGCTCTACATCTTGCAAGATTACAAGCATGGAACGAAGTCAACAGCACAGCACACACCGTGTGCTGCGGGTTTAATTCGAGCAACCGTGTATAGAATGTTTCCCGCGATACCTATCGAGGCAACCAAGATCCTTATCATCTTGGAACAATTATAGGTTTGCGCCATCTCGTTGTTTAACAACCTCTCTCCGTTATTGTTGTGTCTTCGTGTATGGCTGTCCGACCATCCTGATTCCAATAATCGAGCTTGCGTTAACGAGGAAAAGCTATTTCCCGACAAAAGGAAAATAGCCTGCCAGTAGTCAATATGTTATTATGCTACTTCTCTATCTAATCCGTGGAATATTATCGATGTCAATGCTTTTAAAATTATTACTGATAAATATATATGTGTAATATACACACATATCTATCTACGAAATTATAAATAATATATAAATCTGTGAACAAAATTTATGCTTTAATTCTCACAGTTTTGTCGTAACAAATTACAGTTTTATATTGAAATATTTGTGGTACACATATGGAAACTTATAAATAAAACAAATAATAAATATCACTCACAGCGAATATGGCAAATATAAATGTAATCAGTGGACAAATAAATAGCTATGAGATATTGAACTTTGTATTAAAACAAATTCTACATAGTTGCTTGTTATCTTGTATTCGAACGTGCACGAGTCGTGTTAAAATTCCAGTGCAGAGAGAGAGAGAGAGAGAGAGAGAGAGAGGGAGGGAGAGGGAGAGAGCATCGATAGCGATCGATAGTTTCGCGAGATTGCGAAACTGGGTGCACACGCGAGGGTGAAAAAATCACCAGGTTAATAAGCTAGTGCACGAAATACGGAAATATGATTTTATTTACGAAAGTATAAATTGCACAATACACATTGATATGCTGCGAAACTTTTCTCTTTTGATTTGCTTGCATTAGAGAACTTAAGAACAAAACGTACATGCATTAAGCTGCTGCAAACGCGTATGAAATAATACACAGGCAATGTTAATCAATAATTCACTCTGATCATCCGTAACGAGTTCTCTATTTAGAGATTTTATATGTATATATTAAAGTAACCAAGTAATAATATTTATATCTGACTCCACTTTGAAAAAAGTTCTACATTTTTGATAAATTTAGCAAATACGGATGCACGCGTTTACTTTATTAACATTTACTAATATTTGTTATTATGAACATATACTTGATTTGAATTTATCTACCATTTTTAACTATCATTTGGATTAATCTGTTAAAACGCTTGTTTAAATATAAAACGTTTTACGAGTATGACAGGAACCAAATTTGGAAAGACATTCGTGTTATTAATTACAATATGTAATTTTCTTGTGCAGTATTAGTTTATAATATTTATTACATGATTGATAAGTATATTTACTATATACTTAATACACAATTTCTCTACTTATTATAAAAAGAACGAGACTGTTTTGTATATTCCAATTACAATGCAAAAACAAATGATTAAATTGCTTAATTTAATCGTCTATCAATTATAGTGTTCAAGAAACAGATGGCTCCTTCTTCGAAAGTTTCACCGCGTTATCTTGGAAACAGGAGAATCGGAGACTTGTTGTCCTTCAGGAAGTGGAAGCAAGAGCGAAGGAACCGCCACCGCCGTCCAGAGATTCGAGTTCGACTTCGCAGCCGTATCGGCTTAGCAAAAAAGAGGTGAAAGAGATTATTTCGCTATGGAACAATTTTTACTTTTCTACCCAACACATATGCAAATTTTGGTTATTTTTTTTCCTAAAAATTTCACGCAACTTTTTGAGCCATTTCTAATGTCAATTTTTGCAGACTATAATTTCTGGTTTGCTACTGTTGATTATTTTGTGAATTCTGTCAACATTTTTAACACTGTTATTAAACAAGCGACGACAAGTTTTTTCACATTTTCGCTCTACGATTGAATCGCGTGCGACCTGACGCCATTACGTTTAACACACGTCATTCTAATTTCAACGGGCTTTGCATGTGGACGAGTAGTTACGCCCGTTCCGTTTGAAGCATTATTCTAAGTAGATAAAGTCTGTCGAGCCGCACGGGTCAGACGGACGCACTCGTGTCCCGATCGAACTAACAAGTAGAAAATCCGTAATGAGTGTACGTCGTCGTCGTTTCGATTTGCCAACTGTAATACGCGGATGAATAAAGCCCGACTATTTCCAACTCGATGTTCCTATTTCAAATCTCGAAACTTCGATTTTAAATCCAATCGCTCTCTGTAATTCCTTAGCCGTTACTTACTAGTTCGCGTAACTACCTATCCAATGAAATTGATAGAAAATACGTTGTCCAAACAAAATTCAATTTGCAGTATTTTTGCAGGGAGACATAATTATTTAAATTTATACGGGGATGTAATATTAAGCGCCATGTTGAGTATAAACAATTGTCCGAGTTAAAAAAGTTTATTTAAAAAGATTAGACGGAAACTTGCCTCATTTGCCACGCGCTCTAAAAAGAAATACGTGTGCATAAATAAAGTCTAGATATATTGCGCATATTTATTAATGTACGGATCTATGGATCCTTATAAATTTATGGATCTACGTGTCTTCGGATTTGCGATCGGTTACGGATCAAACCGTCGTAAACTTGTGTCTCCGCTATCTTCGGTGAAATACGCGTATTTCTCTCGCGATGGGTCCCCAGATATCCGCACAATTTTTCGCACTGCCGTTTCGCAAGCTCTCGACTCTCGTAAAATAAATATCCGAGCGGAAAAAACACTTTTAAGTAAATAGCGTTTTCATGAGAGCTCGCGAGTTTCCAACGAAGTTCTCGTGTCAAGCTCTGCTCATCATTCTAGCGCACTTTCTCTTCCACCCTTCTACGACATCCCCGCCGTTCGCGATTCTGTTTAATCTTCGTGTTCATTGTCTCTCCCGTCTTCGATGTAGCGCAAAGGTTGCTATGTATGCTCGAATAAAGATTAATTGGCGAAATGCCGACGTCGTCGCTCTCTTAATAAGAGAGGAGACAGGATATTCCTTGTAGCATCGAAAAATAACACGAAGTAGAAAATCTGCTACGTTAACATCGCTGGAATTTTTTTTGCAAGAATTATTTATAGCTATCTCTTGCTTCTCTGAATATTAATTAATACAAAAATATAAATATATAATAAAAATATTGCATACTTTTACTGACATATTTTCTAAAGTTTTTTACAAATTGGGGTTCATTCAGTTTTTCTTAAACTTAATAATTTTCTATTAGCTTAACAAAGTGTGCGTTTTCGTGCTTTCTCAAATTAAACGGCACGATATTGGCCAAGTTACGAGAGCGCGATTCCTCTTGGATTTATATCCTATTTCCTGTAAAATGAGTTTGTACTCTTCTTCGTATAATGAATATCGCATTGCTTTAAATTCCTGCAAAAAGGAGCAGAGAAACACGATCGTTTAGCTAGACAAAGGAAACCTTTAACTTAATCGTCTCCTAACAGGATTTCTCATACATTGTTTCTGAAAGAATTTATAGCATTCTCATATCGTTTACATTACAGTTTGATATTATTTAACATAGCTTTTCACAATTTTGCCATACAAATTGCATCTAATAATAGTAATTGCAATGAAACAGCAGTTTATTATCCGCATTGTGTTACTACAATTATTGATATTTCTTAGATGGAGCAATTGTACATAGAAGTTCTTTACACGATTGCGAACACTGTGGGCGCCAGTACAGGACAATACGCACATTACAAGGAGGACCTGTATCGATACGCCCAAGAAGCCTTTGGAGTCCCACAGGACCAACATCGGCGATATCTCAATATTGCCTCGGAAGAAAAGGTATATATCCGTTTTTATTAACTTTCCTCTCAAATACTGGGATATTGCAATCGTTCTTTTGTAAAAAAAAAACAGTGCATCATCCGGCACCGTTATTTATACCGCAGTAGAAACTAATTGAAATGGAACGTATTTATTGTTGCAGCCACCTATTGTCGTGCTAAGCGTGGTGGTGATCGAAGCCGACGGACTCGAGGCAAAGGACGTCAATGGTAAGTCCCGCCGATTCTTTTGCATTCCAAGCTGCGATTGTCTTTCGAGTTGCAAACGAGTGACTTTTCTCTCGGAACTAAGCTCCTCGGCGGCAAACAAATAACGAGGCCGGGTTAGCTTGAAGACATTAGAACTTTTGTCTTGACAAAATTTTAAGCTCCACCAAAACTCGGTTGTACAAAAATATTTAGCCTCAAACAAATTTCAACGCTGCAGTAAACTTCGTCTCTATTCGGTATTGCCGTTGCGAGGAGATTCGTGTTAAACGTAAAAGAATGCAAGATTAAAGTATCAATCGGAAACTATCGGGATATGATAGAAATCACGTAGGAACTGCACAAAGCTCTTCGTACTCAAAGAGTATTGCCGTGCTCTTTAGGATTCAGCGATCCTTACTGCATGCTGGGTATACAACCTGGCAACGCAGGTGCACCATTAAGCCCGCAAACGAATTTAACGGCACATTCGCCTCACACACCCCCAGCATCCCCGAGGCAAGCAATTCGCGCTCTTTCTGATGGCGGCGAGATCGAGAACTCCCACCATGAGAAACTTCGAAAGCACCACAGGTAAGTTGACGTGCGAAACAACACGGGAGAGATGATTAATTTAATTCCCGCGGCATATGTGTATAATGCGAGAATACGTAAACATTTTGTAAAAATGTCATTATAGTTTCTGCAGTTTTTTGTTTGGCAGTCAATTATTGTAATTAGGGATGCGAGCTGATGTGAGCAAACCTTGTCGCATCTGCTTTAGAACATCATCGAGTTCTTTAGTCTAGCCTGGTGACGGATGCTGTGTTAATCGTTCTAAATAAAACTATTGCTCACGGCTATGGAAGTTTGATTTTTTATTTCTCGTAGGAAGTACATCAATATTGTAGACGTAGAATTCAACGTTTCCCTTCGACTCGAATTATCTTTCACCCCGAGAAGCTTCTTGAGCCTATTATTAAATGATATTAATGACGCAATTGTGCTGTCTCGAAAATGTTTATTACGAAAAACTGCACAATATCTATCATTATCAGCGGTACGATAAATTGACGGCGTGTGCTACTTAAGATAAATGCGCACTCGAGAATAGAAGTTAATATCGCGGGAAGTAATGTACAACTGAAGGGATTAAACGCGCCGACATTAAAGAAGTTAAAAAAATTACGCCACAGTTTCTTATAATTTCGTAAACAAAATCTTAAATTCATTTTTTCGCATTTATGAATCTAAGAGGGTATGAATTTACAGCAATTAAATTTCTTCAAAAATGTATCGTATTAGAAAACGAATTGCTGCGTATTTTTATATTACTTAAGAGATTATACGCTTGAAACGTTTTTGTTCAGTCTCTAACTTTTAAAAAAATTGCCGAGTTTATAAATTGCACGAGTACGTAGATTTATGAATTTGCGGATACGCTATATGTTGGCACATATATATATTTATGCATAAATGTGAACCTTACGTAGATTAATATAGTATCATTGCGCGGTGTTCTAGATTCTTTGTCCATCTTGTGACAAAGCACGTCCAAGGTACCGTAATCGTTACTATATTTTTGAAATGACAGAAAATTGTGACTAAGGAATGGGGACATGTCAATTTAGAATATTACGAATCCTCGGCGATATGTGCATTTATTGTACGTTAACTCCGACAACATTTGCGACAATACGACGCGATGTAACAATGGACACACGCCGGATGCAGCAAGTTCTGCGAGCGGGCGAGCATCGTTCTCCGGATGGAGAAACGGGCAAGAGCATTGAGAGAGCAAGCCCATTTTGCTGTGTATCTTCACATATTGTTCCGTCCGCCACCTGGTGGTATAAGTAAAGTGATTAATGCAGCGGCAACGGGAGCGAACAGTGCGTCACCAGCTGCAACGAGACGCGCGACGTCTACGAGGTGTCGTACGCTATGCATGCACTTCGTTAACCGCGTGAAATTCCATCCGGATTCAGCGAGAGCGGATGTCATGCTGTACCTTGGCATAGAAGATCTGGAAGCCCTGTGAGGAAAACTTGAGACTCTATCTTCCAACGACAACACAATTTGCCAATTAGCATCAAAATTCCAATTTACGAGGATATTGTGTTACAATGCGAATGCGGATAAAATGGATTCGTGTAGTCTGCAGTTGATACTGGACAAGTGTAAAATAATGCAATTCCAATTTCAAGTTTATTCCATAAGAAGGAAGAATTTGTTAAAGGTGCAATGCTATTTCCAAAAGAAATTGAGCCGTCCACAAATCCGTTTAGGATACACACTTTAAAGACGCAGCTATTAGATTATAAGGTTGTGCTTTATCATTTATCTCGTTTAAGTTTATTTTTTTAATTTATTACTGTTAGTTATATAGAGACTTCTGTCTTTAAAGACGGAAGAGGTAAGTCTACTGAGAAAATGAGACAATTGAGTGATCGAGGATCGTTAAATGATTGGATGTTAGAACAATACGTTGAAGACGGACTGTTACTAAACTGCCCATTCAAAATCAGTTTCAGGCTTTCGTTTAAGCGCAAGGAGCACAGTAGCAGGCGGGAACACCGCGAGTCCTTGAGCGGTGCTCTACCCGCCAAGTTTATACGAGCTACCTCGGTGAAGCCGCACACGTTGAGCCCGCGTTGGAATGAGAAGTTCCGTTTGTAAGCGAAAACTTTGGGGTTTGACCCCCTCGTAATTGGCTCTCGCAATGGCGATCCTTCATTAGTTTAACCGCTACAAATCCGCGTACTCGCGCATAACCGTATACCGATTCCTGTTTCAGCGACATTGATGATATCAGCACGGACATTCTCCATTTGGACATATGGTGAGTTGGCAGAATAATTGTCTATTGTTTCACCGATATAACACCTTAAAAATTGCGCACAGTTTACATAAATGCAAGGAGATGTTTGAGACAGAAATTTCTACGTGATTATGTGAGGTTTTCCAAAATTAAACCAAGCTTTGCGACACTTGCACTGATGATTCCAGGGACCACGATGACGAGTCCTCGGTGTTCGACGCGGTTATCAAACTCAATGAAGTACGAGGTGTAAAAGGGCTTGGGCGATTTTTCAAACAAATCGCGCAAAGTGCTAGATCTGGTAGTCAGGATGACTTCTTAGGTTGTGTAAACATCCCTCTGGTGGTAAATGTTCATTTTATAATGGATTTATTATTCAGTTACTTTAATAGTTCTGAAAATGCACAGCTTTTACGTTTATTAGAAAATGTGTGTTTATGAAAAAATATTTAAACCTTAAACATTGGCTGAAGATGCTTGTCAAGTTTTCAAACTCAATTATTTCGAAGAAATCCGAATGTTATGTGAACCAACATTTATTTGTTTTACATAACTTTATAGAATAGTCTTCGGTTATACATTTTTCAAGCATTATGTTCATTCATTTGAATAATATAGCAATTATTATTTTGCGGCGCAAAACTTATGCCTTGATAACTAAATTATAGAATAGTATTTAATAGTACATTATCTTTCTATAGGATATTCCGAGCACCGGAGTGGATCAATGGTACAAACTTGAGGCGCGGACACAAAGGAGTAATATCCAAGGTAGAATCAGACTGAAATTATGGCTGTCGACAAGAGAGGACCGCGGAACATCCGAGGAGGATAATTGGGGCGAGCTGAGGCAACAGGAAAGGCTGTACACAATATTCCTTAATCATGAAATGAACAAACAAGGGGTACGCATAGCATTTAATGAAAGCCGTGTCTACGCGAAAAATATTACATCGTATATTGAGCGCAACAGCAACGTAAACTTGCCCATAGTATATCGTGCATTTACGCGTTTATTAGATATATTGTGTAGTGCATATTACCTGATACATGTCATCGTAAACTTTCAAATTACCGGCATAATGTTTCTAAAAAAAAGAAGGAAAGATAAATAAATTAACTCTCATACACACAGTCTCTCCATATACTCTTAACATATTGAATTAAGTACTGGGCGCGCGTAAAAATCACGAAACATAAAAAAATGTCATTATTGATTATTGATTATCTTACAAATCATTGGCCGGGCACGTGTCTTTATACGTACTTGCGGTTTTCAGGAAGACTTCATTGGGGAACTGCCGCAAACTGCGCTGACAATCTTACATCAACACGCGGTGCAAGGTGATGTCACCGAGTTGCAGCAGGCTTTAATAAGGTGGGTGGCGAGTTCCCGGCAGTCCGCCGTCGATCCACGAATGCTCCATCGTCTTCTGCAGGTAAACTTGAGCCATTGGAGCAACTTGTATATTGCTGTCTTACATAGAACAGTATTAGATTAATGAAACTATTCGATAACAATTATAAGCAATTATAATGAAAGGGGCTCACAGCCTGAACAGTTATATACATTTGATAATAAAGTAATTTTGCCGGACATTACAATCCCGTTCAGGCTCTGAGCCCCTTTCATTATACTTGATTTTATCATACGAGCCATTGTTAATTATTTTAAACAATTATAAACTTAAACTACTTCAAATTTAGGAACTTGACAATCGATGGCACACTGAAACTCTGTCGCGCGACGCAGAGCAGTGTCTAGCGGATTCCTTCAATGACTTCTTGGAGGTATCTTTGAAAAAAGTTAGGCAGCATCGTATACTGTATCCGCCTTTGTACCGGCCGACTATATCGAAGCTGGATTATCTGCTGAGGTAAAATTATATTGAAATAAAGTATTTTACAATTGCAAACATGAGAAATTAATCGTGATAAACTAGATGCACATACAAAGCTAAATATAACAAACTTTTATAACTTTAAAATGTGATTAATGTATAAAATTATGTAATAACAATTTTTGTTACTGCAGATGTTTGGGACTTCTCTCAAACATGAAGGCTTTCCGAACATGTTGTCCCTTTAATAAGGAAATTCGTGGTGAAATTATTACCGCTCTCAGAAAAGGGACTCTAGAATGGTAAGTAGGCGCTTTGAAATGAACTAATAGAACAGACTTTTAAATCAAGTTTATTGTTATTTTACTTTATTTTGTAAACAGTTTTGTTTGTGAATGAATTATACAGTATCGCGGCAAAACGTAATAAGGCTGAAGCTATAAAAAAATAAAATTTGAAAGAAATATGAGGCCAATCACTATAGAACTTTGTTGCAACTTTTATTTAAATTTAATTTTAATTTTGCAGGTACGAGGACACCAGACAACAGACAATGTGCCACGATCAAGAACCTGATCAGGACATCGATCGTGTTTTACAAGATTTCACAAACTTAGTAACCGCATTACTAGTCGATCTGGAACAAGGGCTTTTATATTACAATAGTCTCTTTGAAAGGTAAGAGTTTCTGAAATCTGCTTTAAAAGGCAGAGATATTTGTGGGGGGAAAAAGTAATTAATTAAAAAGTAATTAATGCGAAGACTTTTTGTACTAGTAAATACAAAAGTATTAATTCGTCTATTTATTCTTTCTATTCTAATTTATATATTTAGCAATATTGTTAACAATATTGTTTTGTAATTAACAGTGCTTTCTTGTGAGTTTAGAGATCGCAGTGCTTAGGAAATTGTTATTATCCTGACATAAAAATATGTCTAATCGCGATATATTAATTTTATGTTTCAGCACGAATGGTGTGCCATATTTCTCAGCGGTTTACAAGCAACTGGAAAAACTGGTAAGAATGCAAATGATAAAAACGTTCCTCATGAACAAACCATAAAAAGATACTTATAATAGATTTTTTACTTGTGATTTTGCAACAATATTACGTCAAAGACACACCGTCACATGACACATCATTATTTTTTATTCACTGTGTCGTCAAGCTGGATGTGCTATGTTTGGCTTAAACGCTTTATTCGAGACGTCGATCGTGCTTGCGAATAGAAAAATATCTCATATGGAGAAGAAAAGAAGATTTTGATTATTCCTTCCCAAGCTGCATTCAAATTTCTAGCAGAAACACTGATTAGAATGTGTTGAAGAGAAATTCAAGTGAATTTCTGGTTTTAAGCTACTCTATTTAATTGGACGAGATATCAAAATTATTTAGAAATAAATTCGGTCGACGTCCTTGCATTGAGATGACAATACATATTATTGTTTATATATAGAGTGTCCCAAATTTACGATATATTGCTTTATGGAGATATGAATGGCGATTAAAGACTAAGTATGTGTGTTACATTGTACAAAATAACGAGCGCAATTGAAGAGAAGTAAAAGTAAGTTGTAAAATAATTACGATTATGGTAAGGTCTCATCGGACACGCTGTAAATAAACAAGTCGCAGTGACCTGAAGGGGCCAGGTTGAGTGAAAAGCGCGACGACGAATTATAAATGTCCATCAGGTCAGCGCGATTTTACTGTACACGAGATGTTTGTCCATAGCTGGCGGAACACGTGGCGAAACACATGGAGAACACTTCCGAGGTACTTTTTTCATCGCCACCACAAAATATTAAACTTTCTTTCTCCTACTCTCCTGTGATTTCTCTTTTTTACTCTTGCCTCCAGTGCTCTTTCTCTTTCTCTCTTTCTCTCTCTTTCTTTCTCTTTCTTTCTATTACTTCGAATTTCCTGCATAATGTAAAACTGTTGAAATCGTCGCAATTTTTTATCTGTATACCCATAAAAAAATATTTAAATCAATGACAAAAAGCATTACAGAATTGGTTTATTGCGCATAGCATAACTGTATCATATAAAATCAAGTAAATAAGATTATTTGAGTATACAGTTAAAAAGAGTAGACGTTATCAACTTAGCGATTATTGAATATATTTTATTGTATGTATATAATATTATATTTACATTAGTTTCAAAGCGATTAATCTATGTTTAATATATATTTTGATTGGCAATCTAAGCTCGCGATTTTATAGTATTTAAAACTTTATATATATAGTTTCTTTGACACGAGAAGAGCACACCTTTTCAATTTCTACATACATAAACGCAAAGAAAAAATAATACCCGCAAAATGCACAAAACGGGCAGTAGCGTCCGAGTAAAATAACTCCAATTGCCGTCACTCCACTATGCTACAGATACGAAAAATGTGTTTTTTAAATGTTTTTATATTATTTCAAAAACGTATCTCGTTAATTTTAATACACCAGTTATGACGCGCGTTAGCGTCGTCTCATCATCAGTGATACAATAGTTGAATCTCTCCGTCTCCTATCTTTACGCAAGTTTGCTTTGAGTTGATACAAGCTCTCTTGGTATCACGATAGAAAACTGATGACGCACCCTACTGCCTCGTGCCATTTAGCATTTGACAATTCTTTATTTTCCACCGTTAGTGTATATTTCTCATGACACCCTCGAATCGCGTAGCTCTCGTGAGTAAAAACCATTGCATATTGCATGCGCTCATCCGGATCGTTAGCAAAACACAGCTGCACTTGACGCGTACCGATTGCATGCGCTCGCCAATTCAGCAAATGACGCACCACTCATTTGCCTCTGTGCACTTACTTTCAGCCGCGGTACAGATATATTTCTCGTTACACACGATTGCCTAGTTACGCTCGACGAAAGCAACTGAAATCAGCGCGTAATGCATCGTTCCAGAAAGTACAGTCGATAGTAATTGCTGTTCCTTAAAACTGCAATTCTCCGAAATGGCCCAAATTTGTATATAGGTCATTTTAGCATCTGCAAGGTCCAACGTATTTAAACACAAAGTAATTTCAACTTTACATTAAAATAAGATTCCTAGAAGCTAATTGATATTTTAATATTAGATATTATATTATTCTGTGGTACTTTGTAAATATTCTTTCATATTTTAATTGTGAAATTTGTTATTGGGCAGGTATCTTGTATTCGTTACATTAGTTTATCATATATTTGTATATAATAAAATATGTTGTATATATCACGAGAAATACATCTGTACTTGCTGCTCACCGTTCAATAAGAAGTGAACTAAAATAAATTGCAAAATACGTTTCTAAAAACTTTGCAAACGTACGTTTCAAGATAAAGTACTGTTTAAAAAATGTTCAGACTCTTTTTTATTATTTTTTATATTATATTAATATTAGTTACAAGTACAATTATACATATACATATATTTGGGATAACAATAAATTTAGAATATCCAACTATACATAGAAGTATTTATATTAATGTATCTTAATAAATAGAACTTATTTCTTCATTATTTCTTTCAAAACTTTAAATAGAAAACAATGTGAAAATGTAGAAAAAAAGTTTAGTGCTTGTACAGTCAATCTTAAATTTAAATCATTGAGAATTCGTAACTTGGAAATTCGTTTTAAAAGTATTTATTTTTTTTGCAAGACGAACAAGAATACAAAAGACACGTAATTTACATTTTTTACACTTTCAGGAATGCTCTCGCGCATCCTCGATTTCGATGTCCGACGTCTCGCGAGTCCTGATTAAATTTTACCCATAGATGCCATAAAACTTCAGTCCCTCGCAAAAGTTTTGCAACTACTGGCGTTAAACTTGTTGAGTTCTACCGCGAAAAATTTCAGGCAGAAAGTTCGATTGCGAAACGCGATTCTTCATCAATTCCTTATCGATCCGATCGCATTTCTTCACATCGTCAAGAAATTCAATCACATCGAATTGAAACAAATTTAGCGAATCGTAGACATTTACAAATGTTTAATAGAATCGTGCCTTTCCGCTTGTTCACTTCACATTTATATTTCACCGAATAACATGCCAATTATCCGGGAATTAATTATGAAACTCCCCCGGACAAATTGTGTACAAATGTAATCGCACGGATGAGGGAGATTCCTAAGACTCTCCGAACATGCATATCCCCAGCTAGTTCTCTAAGCAGTTTACCATAAAGACGCTCGAAAAGTCTTGTAATGCTGACCACCTGCTACATGTACACATCAAGCACGACTCCCGTTTATCCTTGTTAACTACATCGTTGGGATTGACATCCGGCACCTCTCTCGGGACCTCTTTTGAATAAAGTCGCAGAGGATCGCACGTCAGCGTGTAACACGATTTTACCATAAACACGCGAAATTGAACTTTAATAGCTTTACATACAAATTTTGCCGAGAACGCAAATCCGCCAGGGCTTGCAATGTCTGAACGATGCATATATAATCCAACAAATTATTACTCCGTGCGAAATACACGATGCGTAGTAGCGCATAAAATCGATCTCAACGGAATTTAATTTTAGATGCAATTTCTATGCGTTACATCCGATTAAACATTTTTTAATAGAAAAACAGAGATGCGATCTGTATAAAAAGTTATTGTAATTTTTCACTATTATCTTCAATTATTATAAATACACTCATAATCCGATGAATAAAATGTGTGATATAAAAAGCATAAAGATTAACAAATTAATAAAATTTGTATGGTTCAAATGTGTGATAAACAAATTTGACGGAATAAAGGACTAGGAGCCGTGACATGGTGTTAGTGTCTAAATATTTCCTATTTCAAAGATATTAATTAATACTGAAACGACATATTAGTAGAATATGAATAATTCGTAGGGAAATATTGCAGCCTATCTGTCGCTCATTAAATATAATTATACATGAAAATGCGAAATAAAAGTTAATATAAATTTACAAGTAAAATGTTTATAACAAACAAAAATACTATTCTGTAAATCGGTTTCTTTGGACACAATGTTGGATCGTGTATGAATTATTTTACAAGCAATTCTGTACACAATATCTCACAAAAAGGCATGTATCAAACCTCTTAACAGGCCTTTAGCTCACTTTCTTAGTAAAAGAGTTTAGATTGTAATACTTATACTTAATTAGTTAGCTGAAAATTTCCAAAAATTTGGCGAGCTCTGACACGATGCTTCAGAAATATTGCGCAAACTACAATAGCATTGTATAATAGTACAATAGCTTAAATAAAGTAATTATTAAAAGTAATATCTTCTCCGCTTGTGCGCCTAGCTACACGATCGAACGGATTATGTTTAATTGGAACGCTCGCTTTTACAGATGCATAACGAGCTTGGTGCTAGAGTCACCACCGCCTGTCTGCAATTGCACGGTCAAAACAGAGATGAAGAATATGTCCTACCACCCGGTGCTGAGATAGGAACGCCGATATTCGAACTGTACCTGGCACTCCAAGACTTTGTAAAGTAAATATCTGTTATACTTGCTAATTCTTATATTGGTAAGATCACTTTGCAAAATAGATTTTTAGCATATGATTATTATAATATATTAACACATAAATATATTGAAATTATGTTCAATAACAATTTTATGGTGAAAATATTATATTGTTTTTAATTGACACATTTTTGTATAACTAAAGAACAAGAACGTTACATGAGCAAATTATTTCTCGCATTCACGTTGCACGTAGTTTATATTAAGAAGAAGTGAGGAATATAATATGTAACATTATAGTTGCATATAAAATTTGTTGTTTTTTTTTAGTATGAAGGACAATTTGCCACAATCGGACCATAAAACTCTAGCGATCTGCAAGTATTACGAGTGGTTTAGACCAGCTATCGACAAATGGCTGGATCTGGCGAAACTCAAGGCAATTCAAAGAGTGCGAAGAGCCGCGGAACTCGATCGGGTCTGCACCGGGGAATATTTCGTCAAACACTGCACATCGGCAATCGACGCCACTGCGTGCTTTTATCAGGTACTTTTATTACTTTCAACGTCCTAATTTATATGCGCGCTACGAAATAATTACTGCAGCAGTCACGGTTTTTTTAATAAAAAGTATTAATAATTCTTTTTTCACAGATTAAAGAATTCTGGAAGAAACTAGCGTGGCCGGACCTAGTTGGATCTTATAATTTCGTATTGAAAGTCATCGATGTAAGTGAACATAATTATTTTTTAAGAATTTTAATATTTACAATATATCGCTTATGTTTCCCTAGCAAGAAATTATTGCGAATAAAATTTCCAATACTTTAAACTACCGAGATATTTTGTTGATTTGTGAAACTCTTCGCTCAACAGTTCTCTCAATATGAAATTATAATAAGAGATACTGTATATAATTATATGTTGTATAAACATACTGTAATGCCACTGCAATAACGTAATGTCAAAACGTTATTTGGTGTAGGCGATATGCAGCTCCGCGGCTTACTACGCAGAGATAACACATCAGAAACTGGCGGATAGCGGATATTATGAAGAGCACACACCATATAAGACCACAGATGAGGTAATCGCTCAGGTAGAGATTGCTTCGCTTTAGTATACAAACAGTAGTACACTTCCTGCTTCGCAAAGTAGTTTCGCTAAACCATGAGAATATGAGATGCGATTACAACTTTACACGAGCAAGCGGAGCATGATGCGATATGCAACTTCTACTAGTGCATTGATTTATGTAAAAAGTAATACTTATAAGCATATGTGTAATATATTAGAAACAGATATGTAATTTTTTTATCTCAAGCAATCTTATGTATGTACAGGTAAGGTAAGCTTCCAACGCTTGACATTATGGACAAATGTCTCAAAGCGTAATAAAATGTATGCTATTATTATAAATAAGGAAATGATCAAAACTTTTATAAATGAAAATGTAATTAAAACGCATTGTCAAATATTTGGTTGATCGTAGGTCGATTCATAAATTCTGAACTAATTTGCATATGTGTGTTTTAAAAGCTGAAGAAATATATTAGATATATTTTTACAAACTCAAAATTTTCATCATAAAGTTTTGACATCTTCTTTCCATCTTTAATAGCACTGCGAGACTTACGACGACTAAAATGCCCTTATGCGTTGTGTGAGTCAAATATGAGGGCACTGTGATAATTATTAATTCGACGCTCGAGTTAAACGATAATTTACCCTGTTTTCAGATGTGCGTAGCAGTCAATGGTCTCGAGTATGTGAGAAGGTGGTTAGTGGACCTGGGCGAGGAACTGCGCGTGGAACAGATTCTGACAGCTTTGGAGAATCAAGCGGGCGAATCCGTTCGAATACAATGGCGAAATACTATGATCACACCGTTGGAACAAACTCCTGGACAAATGTTGCTCTTCATAAATCAAATAATCTCGAGAATCGGAGCTAAGGTACTCCGTGATAAAATATCGATATAAATAAAAGGAAAATCAAGATTGCTTAAGTTTTAAATTGGATTTCTCAACTTATGCAACTCGTTTTATAATTTACAGCCCTGTGTTACGTAATATATATATAATACATAATTTCTTTACTATCGCAATCTCTAGATGAGTATCTCGCTGCTCTTTTCGAAAGGTCACTAAGTCAGCGCAGCGTAATTTACATCCCAGTTTTAAAACGGGCCGCTTATTAGTTTGCAAACATAATTACTGCCGCGATAATATCGCTGTAACTATCGGCGACTATGTTAACAAACGCGTCTTGAAAAGCTGCGAACTATAACTTTCATTCTAGCCATACTAATCGTACTATAGTCTACTGCGCGTGGCGGAAATATATCTATGATGGAAAGTTCCAAGTAACTACCCAGCACAAGCTGACGTTGTCAACATTTTCGTGTCGAAATAATGTTTCGGATGACATTTTGACGTTAAAATGAAACCGCATAATGCCAGTTACTTGGATAATGCATTTATATGCAATTATATAACAACAATTTTGTTTTGTCTGTTGTACATAGATGAGACCACCTCTGAAAAAGGCAATGTTTCACTTGGCTTGGTCTCCCGACAGTTTACCGACTACAGAGGCAATCGCTCCTCTTGTAGAATACCTGGACGTTCATCTAGCAGCACTGAACTCTGCTCTGCTAGCCGCAAATTTCAATCGCGTTCTGCAGGACATTTGGGAGGTGGTCCTTAGTGAATTAGCCAGCCAAATGGATGGTAATGCCGAGGTAATCGTGTTCTTGTCATAACTGCATGAATATGAAACTCTCTTCTAATGATAAAATTATTATTCATAATATGATGAAATTATTTCAATGATATTCAACGATACTTTGGCAAATAATCTATGCTAAACGAATAATAAAATAATAACGATAGATATGATTTCCCGCAGGATAAACCAGTGATGTTTTACGAGAGATTGCACGAAGCGCTTGACTTATTAGTGAGATTTTTCAACGCTGATGATAAGGGCTTGCCTCTAGAAATATTACGTCGTCAGAGTTTCATGAACGCAGAAGAGCGCCTCCAGTATCATAAAATGGATACGACCTTCTTGATCGACCGATATTATCAGCAACGTCTTCTGGTATATCACATACGACATCCAAAATTAATTAGCCGGCTAAGCATAATTATTTCTTTTATTTTACGTAGCAAATAGCAATATTTTGATTCATGATTAAAAATACTCCCATCTTTAAAAATGGCTTTCTTTTTAATAATTTAAAAACGTTGCATAAAATGTTTGTACAATGGTACAATATTTAATCATTAAATGTACCACCTACGTCTCTAATTACAATATAATAATATATGTACGCGTTGATTTTTAGGACCAACTTAGCACAACTAGCTATGAATATGGTGTTCTAACGATACGATCTTATTGGAATCACGATTCTCTTTGCGTCGAGGTGATTAATGCCAGAGATGTCATACCGTTAGACCCTAATGGATTTAGCGATCCCTTCGTAATAATCGAATTATTGCCACGACGAATGTTTGAGCATTGCGCTGAGCAACAAACTAATGTCAAAAAGAGAACACTAAATCCCATGTTTGACGAGTGTTTTGAATTGTGAGTTTATTATGCTTCAAGCCGTATATTTAATTAAATAATATAAAATGTTTTCACATATACAAAAGTAATGTCTTCAAGAAGCTTGTCATCTAATTTGACATTTCTTTTGCATTACGTGATGTTAAAAGCAATTAAACGATAATCTTGTATTAAATTTATATTATAAGACGTGATCTCGATTTTAAATATCAAGTAATTGAAAATATATATTTTCCTTCAATAAATGTACGCATGTACTTTCTTCCAGTTCGGTGAGCGTGGAGCAGTGCCGTGACCCTAATGCGATGGTCCTTTTTACGGTAATGGATCACGATGTTCTCACGGCGAACGATTTCGCAGGCGAGGCTTTTCTGGGGCTCAGCACTATTCCTGGCGTCGCCGACACGAACACCAGTATAGACAATTTCCACGGCCTCAAACATCAGGAACTACCGCTTATGCACCAAAAAAATCGGCGTGAGTGAATTTATCATATTTCACAAAGTGTAAAATTTACAAAACGACGATTCGTGATAAATACACAGAATATTTTTAATCGCAAATTTATTTAATACATTCTTTAAAAACTTTTACAATAACTAGAAATTAAATAAATGTTTAATGTTACAATTTCACCAATTTCTTTACATAATCTTCTTCAAATAACCTTCATATTGTAGCTGCATCGATACTTATTACCTCTTACAAATTAAATATACGCTTCTTGTTTTAGATCATCCGATTCTTCAAATACTGGAAACTCGAATCGGCGACAAAATGGCTCTTGACTTTGTGAAGAAGCAAAGACAGCGATTCGCCACGACATAAGCGTATTACGTGTTGAGAAAAAAGAAGAAGAAGAAGAAATTTGTGGTGATTGTACCTCAATCGCTATCAAGACTTGTACACTAATCTTAAGAGTCAATGAAAAAAAAAACGAAGGAGGAAAAGGAAGAGGAGAAAGTCCATCCCTGCGATATATCGTCGATTCTCACTTTCTCTCTCTCAAGCACTCTACCTTTCTGCCTATCTTTCTACCAGCCTTCATCCCAAAGATTCGTCAGATCTATTTCAGTGTAAATCGTGTTGAATATAATTGGTGTTGGGTCAGAAAAAAAGAGAAAAGGAGAAAAAAACGGAAAGGCGTGGTGAAAGAGGATTGAGAGAAATATACACACCAAAACTATTTTTGTGTCGAAGAAAAGATGTGTAGAGCAGAACGATGCAGCATGCAGGAAACAGTAAACGTCGGTGTGACGTAGCTAAGGATAAATGTTTAAAAGCCGTCAAGTCCGAAGCGACGCTGGAGCGACCGTAAAGTTCTTTTATCTTGCATCTTTTATACAGGGAGGTCGAAATATTTCCTTGCGCATATGAGTTTAAGAATCTTCTTAGGGGAAAAACACGAGTGTTCACGTTTACGGATAAACTGAAAAGACGAGACTTCCCTTCGCGGTCGTGCGATCTGGTTTTCGTCTGTCGGGTATCAATTGTGAATAAAAATCGGGGTTTCCATGACGAGGATAAATATATGCGACACATGATGACTTTCTTTAAATCGACTTATTTTCACAGCTTCCACAAAAGAGGAAGTCATCGAGGCCACTCGTGGAAACTTTCGCCTCGATTGCGCAGAATTGATTCACGACAAAATTGGGAGGAAAATACAATTCTTTTTACTATCTTCTTAAATTACCTATTTTAGTAAAAATCATGTACAATGGTTAAGGTATGCAAATTTCTTTTTTCTTCGAGCGATGCAACGCACAACGAATTATAACATTAGAACTGACTTAAATATTAATTATGCTAATCAGTTATCGAAAATAAAATATCATTAATGTATCCATAAAATCAAAAGCACATCAAGCATTAATACGGTTCTTTTAACCGTATATTTCTCAATCAAACTAAAATCAAATTGTTCTAATATACTTTTAATAATAATATTAAATAAAATACTTTTCCTCCCCGAAGAGCAGCCGCGCCGCTTCAGCGTCGCTTCGACGGCGCGAATCAAACCGAGAAGGTCGATATACGATATTTTTCTTACTCGTCATTGGCTAAAGCCTCTTTCTATCTTTTCACCATCTAATCTCCCGAATGACTAAATTATGAACTCAGCTTTTCTTGCTGGACCGCTAATGCGACAAAAAAAAACAAAGGCGCTTCTGTGAAAACGCTCTACTCGGTGATTTCTTCAGTTTTCGAAGAAAAGAATAAAATCAGAGAGCATGTGAGAAGCATTAATTTGACTTTCAGGCATAACTATTATTAAAAATTGAATGTACGTTTCGCTTGAAAAACATTCTCTGTGTACTTCGCCCTCAGTATTAGATTTTTCTATTAAATTTAATTTGCTAGTACACGAAATGCGATTCTATGTAGTCTTTCTAACGATGCGACGCCGACGAATCCTTCGTGATTAACATTGAGGCATATGTTAAAGTATTCGTAACAATTGGATAAAAAATCGAATGCTATTTAAAAGCAAAATTAACATTAATACTTCGAAGTGTAATTGTTTGTCAACTTGTTCGATAAGTCAAATTTTTATCTCATTCAGAGAGCAGAACAAATTGTATAAGAACAAATGCGCTCACTTTTCCAAACGTGTCAAGAAAAATAATATGTATTTGAGTTTCTAGTAATTTGCAGGAATAATTTAGAATACATAAGCAGCTAATGCGTGTCAATTTAAACACAGTCGCGGGTTTATAATTATTGGCGTGGCCAACAAAATTGGAACACAGACAAAGTAAACATGTAGAAACTAAGGACGTAAGAAGGGACAGAGAAAAGAGAAAGAATTCATTCAAACGCACATATGTCAATTTTTCTAATGCACGTATCACTTAGTTACGTAATTATACAAAAAAAAATGCGATAATTATACGAACGAGCGCTCCGCGTATTACACTATAATATTTTGCACGCCTTATAATAAAAGTATAATAAAAGAGGACTGACAAAAGAATACGATTACGAAGAGCAAGATTCGTCTGTTTGATTCTCAATATATTTCGTGCATCGAGTCCAATCAAACTCTACTATTTGCTTTTCCAACTTTTTTCAACCACCCAAAAGGTATGTACGATCTATCTTGTATCGTGAGACAAATAAATTAATATAAATGTTTGTTTGCGTGATTAATAATCTTCTCTGATATACCAGAAATGTATGACCATGTATTGTTAATTAGGAAATGTCGGTATTATATGACGATACTTAGATATAACAGAAAATGTTGAATTTACTATTATTATTTATTAACAATATTTTGCCGTACAGGTAATACATAGTTAATTCTCTATTTGTTATTCGCATAGATGCGTTTTTTACACAAACTAAAGATTGTAATATGCCTTTTTATTTCACAAAAATAATTCTCATTTATTTTATTTACAGATTTAATTTAAGCTAAATGTTCAAACATGTTAATATTTTTAACTCCTAGAGTTGGATAAGGATCGTGGATCAAGAGATAAAAATTCAAGTTGTCACAATCCGGTTTGAAAATTTCTACTGGATAAAAGAAATTTTATCTTTACTTTATAAAAATAATTTAGATAGAATGGACAATTAAATTTGATTTACTTTATCATAAAAGTATTTAAGACATTAGCTAGATTCTTGACCGAGCAAATCACTTGATGGAGTATCAGTTTTATTTAATTGAATTGGATTTTCTTCCGTTCGAATTATGGGATCTCCATCGAGCTTCTCCAAATTGGACAAACGCCGTGCAACCTCGAGCCTCCATTGCTCTACCTACAAAATGAGTAAAGTAAGTGATAAAACACATCAAATTTTGTACATTTAGAAAATTTCTAACGATATCCTCAGTAATATTGAAATATATTTAAACTTCTTACAAAATATATAAATTCATCTAATTATATGATTTATTTTACTATTGTACAGAAATAATTTTCTAGTATATGTTATTTTAAAATATTTTAAACGCAGCTCTGCTTCTTTAAAACATTATGTAAAAAGGGAAAAATTTACTTTTTACAATTTATTAAAGTGTATATGATATGATATGATAAATACCTCAAGACTTTCATACAGCGGATTACCGACGAAAACTAAATCTCGAAGATTTGCAAGCTCTTGTAGCCTTGCAAATTCATTCCATTCTCGCACCAAGTTATTAGACATGTAAAGTACCCGAAGATTCCTCATCGCTTGGATGCCCTTCATCTTCTCGATGCAATTGTACGAAATCCAAAGCTCCTCGAGAATATCGCCTAAAGGTTCGAGACCGGCGAAACCTTTGATTAAATTACGACCTAATGACAGGATCTTTAAATTTTTCAGAGTCCCAATGCCTGAAAAAAGTGGAATATATTTAAAAAGTTAATTAAAATTCGCGTACAACATAATATTTCTATTACGTCATAATCTGCCGTTGCTGACATTACTACAATTTACTACACACCAATATTAAATATCGCGTGTATTAAATCGCAAAAATCAAATTGTAAAGCGTATACTACATAAGTAATGAAAGTACAGTAGATAAATTGAGTATATTTCGATAAAGTGTGTATGATGTAACATGACTTAAACGATGGAATAATTGTCGCATTAAATTATAATGGACATTATAATAGACGGCGTTGTTTGTTATCAAGTAAAGTGACAACAACTGAAGACATTAACGCGCGTTCTTGCAGGGTCCGTCCGTAATGACGTGAAATTCATAATCATATTTACATCGCGATGTGTCGCGTACAGTCGCTGAGACAGTCACACGCTTGAATATGCATTATGCGCTCGATGGATGTCACGAGTCCGAATATGCATCAGTTCTGATGCGGCATTTAAAATCGCCATTTGCATAAATCGATAATTCATGAATAATCGCTGATTAATCAGCGCAAAATAGCAGCAGGATTATAAAAAGAAATAATTTCCAAAATTCCATGTAAATACATGTGTGCTCATTCTTCGAAAATTCATCAAAAATGTATGTCGCTTTCTCGATACGCATTAATATTGTGCAATTAATTTCTTGAAAGCAACAGCGATAATTATTTCAACAAGAAAATCGCATAGTGTCGTATAATTTCATGCGACATTTATTCCACAAGTCATCTCGGCACTTTTTTTCGCAATTTCGTGATACGTTAAATTCTTACCTGCAATCTTCTCGATCATATTTGTCGATAGGGAAAGCTTTCCACAATTCGTCAAAGCTGCTAGCGCATTGTCCATTTTTTCTATTGGAGGCCACTGAAAGCTTAAGATTACTTCTGTCGCTGTAGCTGCGTTTTGTTGATTTTCTTCCTCCCATCGCCGTACAGCTTCTTTGCATGTGGTTGGCTTCGCCGATGCCATGGATGGATTACATATCTTTCCAACATCGATACAGATTTCCAAAAAAGAATCTAATATGTTTTACTCGTTATTTACACTCATTTCAAATATTATAAAACATCGGGCAAAATACAAATGTACATGCATGTCTCGTGGCGCTAATATTTTACTGTAAATAATGTTATTAAATGCACAATACGCTCAAGGTATAAATGCAAAAGCGGCAAAATGCTTTACTAGTTATATTACGTCAAAGCAGCATCGTAACAATAACTGCGCTAACAGTAATTAATGTTGAAAATATAGTTTTACCATCCGAGCCTAATTTCCTCAGAATTCTATTATCAATGTTATCGCGTCAATTAGCAAAATTAAATACATCATGAAGCAATGTATTAGAAATAACGTGCTTGCGTGTATTGGCAAATCAAGAACGAATGAAAAAAAACTGCATTTAATCATCAAACAGTGCTCGCAAACGTGTGTAGTTATTTTATATTACGTGCAATCACGGAAAAAACTGATTTAGTTGATTCAGCAAATCTATAGTTTGCTGAACAAAATTAAACGTTTTAAAGAAGTAAATTTGCTAATGCAGCAAAGAAGTCGTGTGTAAGAGCAATCGTTACTTTGTTCATAAAACAAATCGATTTTTGCTAAAATTATCTTAGTTACTGCGACGAAAATTGCACGAATTTTCGTCTCTCCTGCGAATAACACCGTTGAGGAAAGGTATATATTCTTCTGAAGAAAGCCAGATAATTACTAATAACTGGACAACGTTGTCTAATTATTAATGATTATCTGGCTTTAGAAGAATATGTGCCTCTCTTTATACCCTACGAG